GTAATCCATGTGTCTGGGTGTGAATTTAACATGCAGTATAAAGAAAGGTACCCTAACTCTAGCAGGGACCAGAGATACGTGCAGAGCTAATGGGATAAATTCACACTCCGATGTACAGCTGAATTATCAAGAAGTGCAGGAAAGAGATGAAAGTATAAGGGGAAATAGCAAAGAGAAAAACATTACAAAAGCATACATAAATGCATACAGAGGAGGAAAGTGAAAAGAACATCTGAAAACTAATCTTCATGTACCATGAAGCTTTTACCACCAAAATAAACTTTCAGGTGCTAATGCCCTGCCCTCCTTCTCCTTTTTCTCATGCCAGCATAAGCTAACACATAGCTATTAGAACATGTCCAAAGGAGGGCAACGAAGATGGTGAAAGACCTTGAGGGGAAGCCGTATGAGGAGCAGCTGAGGTCACTTGGTCTATTCAGCCTGGAGAAGAGGAGACTGAGGGGAGACTTCATCACAGTCTACAACTTCCTTGTGAGGGGAAGAAGAGGGGCAGGCATTGATCTCTTCTCTGTGGTGGCCAGTGACAGGACTCGAGGGAATGGCCTGAAGTTGTGTCAGGGGAGGTTTGGGTTGGATATTAGAAAAAGGCTCTTCACCCAGAGGGTGGTTGGGTGCTGGAACAGGCTCCTCAGGAAAGTGGTCACAACACCAAGCCTGAGAGAGTTCAAGAAGTGTTTGGATGATACTCTCAGGCATATGGTGTGAATCTTGGGGATGGTCCTATGCAGGGCTAGGAGATGGACTTGATCATTGTGGGACCCTTCCAACTCAGCATATTCTGAGATTCTGTAAAATAAGCAGAAAACTGGTGACCTCCAGAATCTCATCATCTTCTACTTACCTACATGTCAATAACTGAATCCCTTTAAGGCCACAGAGACTTGAAATAAGCAAAGCTAGAGAAACAAAAAAAGAAAAAAGTGTACAAATATAAAAGGCTAACATTTCGCTGGTTTTGTGAAACATCTTAAATAAGTGCATTTTAAAAGACTTACTGAATTCTTTAATGATTAGAATTAAAGGAAGTATTGTTCTTGCAAAGGGTATTTTGAGAGACAAGCAGTGTCTGAACCACTGGCCCAGAACCATGGACTGAAGGATGCCATCTCCCTTCATGTATAACACAACTTCATCATCATCTGGATTCTGATGGAAGCTCATTTACAGAGTGGCAGCTTTGATGTTGTAATTACAACATTAACAGGTAGCAAGCTGTTAAAAAGAAGAATTAAAATGAATGTGTCTGATACTCAAGGATTATTTCTCAGATGAAATACAAGGGAGAAATATTCATGTTTCAGTAATTACGGTAACATTCTATGAATAGCTTCCCTCAATATATTACCTACATTCTGAATCAAAAAGAGCCTTATGTGGCTGATGACAGCAAAGCTGAACATGGTCTTTGCCTAAGCAATAATGGTTCTTTCACATACTTGGCACTTCTGAAAGGAAGATGAATTCTGGCAACCAGATCTGTTTTCCTTAACAGATGTTTCAAAATATGGTAATGAGGTGTGGGTTTCCTAGGCTGTCAGCTGGAATTCACTAAGCAGGAAATAGAATAAAATGGATCTGACTCAATTAGTCATTTCACTTTAAACCTTTAAAGACTACATTAGATTTTATATTAATTTTATAAAACACTGCTTGCAATGAATCATGTAATAGTACATGCACCTCTGCTAATACAAATTACTCTCAACCTTTCCTCCACTAATTCATAACTGTGTGTGACAGACATCATGTCTATTTGAAGAGTTTCAGAGTGACTCTGGCATCCAGAACACTACCACATCCCTCAAATAAAAAATAAAATTATAAAAAGTCAGAAGAAACACATTTTAGTGACATGTTCAGTCAAACTACAGTTTGAAAAATGCAACACATTTTTAGATAGTAAACAAAATTCATACTGAACTCTAATCTTAAGTAATTTCTTAAACACAGCTTTATCTTTATACTGATGAAAGCTGTACTAATGAAGGACCAGTTAGAATTACATGTCTAGCAGAGAGATGAAAGAGAATGACTCTCTTAATTAAAAGTTGAATCACGTTTAAATTTTCCACTTACAGTAGTTGCCAAACTCTTGCTTTCCTGCATTTTTCTAGAATAACTCTCATGTACATCTCAGTACAAAGGAGCAAGCTGTATCATGACAGTCGATATATTAAATGTTTGGACACCTACAACGTAAACAGTTGAGAAACACAAAAAAACCTTCAACTTCCAGCATTATTACCCATGTAAATGATAAATTTGTGTGCCACATGTTATATGTCAGACATCATTAAGATTGGTCTTTGGTTAGCAGTCAAAAAAACCTACACTGAATCCTGACAACGCAGAAAGAAAAGCACTAGTCATTTTTAGCCAATGTGCCTTGTTAGAAAGCCAATAATGCTGGTAGCTGTATCAATAATTTTGTAGCTGGCAGAACTCAAAGCTTTTCCAGTTATTAGGGGCTACCTGCCAATTCTTCTTACAAAGCCCTGAAGAGAAGGGAAAATAAACAACTGGGTTGTCATTTTCTGACAGTCTGCAGCTGGATTTCCCCCACACAATCACACCACCCAATTTCAGACACAACTGTTCAGACATTTCCATGAATGAAGTTAACGAAAACTCCCTGGGTCTGCAATTTCAGGCAATTCAGGTGATTGTTCCCTGAGAAATTGTGTAGCATCTCATATACTGGAAGAGTAAGGTGCAATTTGCAAGATTGGTGGGTAAGGTTTTGTGTCAGAAATATGCTCCTTATTCTTATGCAAATCCTCCCAAAGTTGGCCAAACTATGAAAATGTGAACTACTGCTATGAAAATGCTTACACACTTCTAGGAGGTTTCTCGGAGCTAGGTAAAATGCCTGAACCTCTTGCTCTTGCTAAGAAAGCTCCATTCTTTCCCTGTCCGTGTTTATGACTGAAGACTGAACTTACCACCTGATGCATCCACCTGAGCCCTGCAGAACTCATTGCTCCACCAGGGGGAGAGAGGAACAAACCTCCTTCACCCCCTTGAGCTGAAGTAGTACAGGACAGTGTAATGGAGAACATTGAGCCTATCTCTTCTTCACCATCACTTAGGACACAGAAGCTTCTGGACTTAAATATGAGGAAAGAACAAATTTAACATTGTTAGAGGTTTATTTGGGTCTCATTGTAAAAGTTACTTGTGCTGTTCACCACAACCTCTTGGGTACTATTTTTAAATGTTCTTAAGAGCACCTGGGGGGTGTCCTTCATTATCTCTAGGGTTTATTGTGAAGATAAATCCATTGAGGACTTTGAAGTCACCAGATGGAAACTACATAAATAAGTAAACCAGCAACTTCTAATAGACATATTAGTTCTACAGTGAACATGACTCCAGAGTAGTAGGGTTTATTTATAAAATAAAAAGAAATATTTTGCTTTTATTTTGCTTTTTTAACTGACTATATAAAAGCAAGCGTATGTGCACATATATACCCACAGACAGATGGGGATAACCTATATCAAAAATTTAATTATAATAAAAATCAAAACTTTGATGTCAATCTGGTAGTTTCCCCCAGTCTTCCATTAAATAATTCCTTCCACTCCCCACAGAGTTAGAGTTGCCCTTATAAAGGAGAATTTGAAAGACAATGGCAAAACAGGTTTGTTTTTTCTCTCTACTGCTTTTAGAAAAGACAGTAAAATGCAGTTTCATTATCACCATAGCCATTTTCTGCTGAGACATACTTGTCTTGACCTGGAAGAAGCAAGTAGTCAAGCTTATGTCTTAAGTTTGATGTGTACAATAAATAATGGTTAACTGTAAAATACACTGATATATGCCTCAAAAGCAGGTCTTTATTTTCTTGAGTGATTTAAAACTTATCCTATTGCTAATGGCAGAGCTTATCTATAGTAAGTTGTTTTTACACTAGATTTTGCCAAATGTTCATACCTAGCAGCCATTCTCTTTCAGACTATGTTAAGTTGTTAATCCCTCCCCGTTTTGGATGGATAATTTTCTACACACTAGCTGGAAAGCAGGCACAAGACATGATCCACAATCACCAAAGCAGAGCTTCATGAGGCTGAAACAGCACACATTTCAATTCCATCACATATAGCAGTGGTCCTTCTGAGGCAAGAATAGTTCTTAGCAAAAGTGTCTCATATTTCTGTAGATATAAAAATACCCTTTTCGGACTTCACAGTCCACCACTTCCTACAATCACTGCAAAATTTATGTTGAGTAGAACTGCAAAGCCTTCCTGAAGAAACCAGAAGAAAACTGGGTTTTCATCACCTCCTTAAACAATAGCCCATTCACTAACAAAACTTGTCTACACTTCACTGTTACCTAGTGTTAAAGAAAACAGCAAAATAAAAGTAAAGCCTCTGGATCTGAGCACTTTCCATAGTTGCCATCACAAGACACAGAAGTTGCTTAAGCTCTGAAATCAAGAAATGCTTTACACGTTAACGGTTTACACTATTTTTTGCTATCCCCATCCATATTTTACACATTCATCAACAATTTTGCTTCAACAACAGCTGCAAGTTCATGAAAACACTGGAATGAGCTGACACTGTGGTTCAAAGGCATTCCTTTTTACAGGTGTTTTACTACGTTTTGGGTGTTTCACTTATACTGGTGTGCTTGCCTCCTCAGTATTATGAGGCTTGTAGTCTAAACATTTATTTTCGCATCCACTCACCTCTGTCTTTCCCAGCCACACTCTTTCCTTGACCATTTTACCAATGAGGAATTCAAAAACTGAAGTTTCTTGCATTGGATGGTCTGTGATATTTGAAAGACTACTGCCAGATTGCTCCATGCTGATGTAGCTATCACAGAGCAGCCTCCTAATACCTGGCTGAGTGCAAAGTGGTAATTAAATCCACCTTATTTAGAAAAAGCATTTGATTACCATCACTAGCACCAATTCAGAAATTCATTTTTGTTGATTAACGCACAAGGAATCATAAAAGTCTCACTACCTTGGACCTGATTTTAGACAAAAGATCTGTCTTCCTCTGCCTGTCTTTAGCCTTTCTTCACGTTGTCACTGGTTCCTGCTGTGCAAAGCAGCACTCTTCATTTCTCTGTATCCCAAGGGTTGTCAAAGAGATGTAGTTCTTGTCTTTCTTTCTGAAAGTGAGATATGATTCCTGTATTAGAACACTACCATTGCACAACTAAAAGTACTGGCTTGTGCTCTGAAAACACCTGCCAGAGGCAGTGCCATGTTATTGAAAATTTTCAGATAACTGCCAGGGACCATTCCAGTGCCAGAATTTCCATTCTATCACAAAAATTTGGGGATGGCCATAGCAGTCAGCATCTGGTCCACAGGGCTGTCTACTCAGTGCCTTTATTTCATAATACAGCACTACCTTTCCCATTTTCCTAAGGAAGGATGAACCTCCTGACTCCATGCTCTACCATGTTGCTAAAAATTCACACCCTTCTCCCAGGTGAATTTTTTCTCACAGTTCTCAGGAACATGTCTCACACCTGTTCTTACTTCCTTTTGTTCAGTGGTAAGTATGATGTATTGCTTGTCTTGAATACAGTGCCATGCAAGTGCACACCCCCAGAACTTAATACCACAAGGCAAACAAGTGTAATTCTCAGATTCACATACTTTTTGTTTCCTTTAACAAACAGACACCATCCCTATGCCACAGATGAATTTTGCAAAAGATTTAACCATAGCAGCATGGTTGGTGTGGACATATCTCCTGACATCATCCCAAAATCGAATGTTTAAAACACGATTTTAAATTACTTATTTTGTTGTTCGCATTCACAATTCTGTTAAAGACTATCTTGTATGTGATCATAAATATTAAACAGAGTTCAGTCAGGACATTAATTTCTGATTTCATCTGTGGATTGTAACAACCAACTTTTCATACAGAAAGAATAGGCTTCACAGGTACATATTTTATTTAAGTTGCTACTTTATTCCTCACACTAGTATGCAGAACAGAAAGAGAAAATTGAAAGCCCAGTTTCATGTAGTAGGCACTTCAGGCCAAGAGGAAACTCAGATACAAAGAGAAATGAAAGCAAACTTACAGTCTTTCTTTAAGCTTATGGTTCTTGACTGTTCACAATAAGAACTGACTGAGGTATGATCCACCAGTGATTTTCAATTATAAGCTGCTTCGTGTTTTTTTTTTTAAAAGTCAAGTAAATATTTAGTTTCAAATGATTTGACTCAAAAATAAACTAAAAAAATCACAAATATGCTGCCAAAACTTTTTAACAGTGCATTAAATAACATAACTAACATCTTACACATGCTTTTCATTAACTTATCATCTTCCCAGTGTAACAGGGTGCCCAGTTCAGAAACAGATTTTCCTCTCCTTAGATTAAAATATGATAAGCATAAAAGACAATGTTTATTCATTAGAAAAAGTGGTCTCAAAGACATGTTTCCATATCTGGAGGCGAGTATAAGATTGTGATCATTCCCACTTCCTAAGAAAGATCAACCAAGAACTGTTTTCTCCCAAATTCTGTTTCATCCAGCTGCACTTTACCCGTATCTTAGAACAATGTTACTCAACCAGTGACTAAAAAGACATTGGAAACTGGTCCAATAAGTAATCAATAAAGCCTTCTGGCTTTAATCAAAGATCTAAAAACATGGCATGCACGTTCCCACTCATTACTAGTAAACAAAGAGAAACGGAAAAAATAATGTAAAGGAACTTAAACAACCTTTTTTTCTGTTTAGTTGTAAATTAAATATGGCAACTAATATGCTGTCCATCTGTTGTTTTCAAAAACATTTGTGTGGCTCTTATATTTGTTTGTGATAGGGCAAGTTGTCTACTTCGATTTAAAAGGAGTGAGAAATTGCATCACAAAGGAACAGTACTTTTGACAGATTATTGCCCTAGCATTGAGCTTACCAATTGCCTCCAGGGGATCACTACAAGAGAAAAATACTGTAATTTTGAATTTGATTTCAAATTCTGAGAAAAGTTATAGAAAGCAGAGGCAGTTTTAATTTGCACTTGGCATATCTTGCATCATTGAGGAATTGTGTTAAAGCGCTGTGTTCCATTTATTGATTTCCAAGAGTTCATATTTTTGTGCTAGTCTAAATTGCAATACTGAATTACATATCAAATTGCTACAAACTAGCCAAAAGAGGATATCACCTAACCAGATCACTTGGAAATATTTTTTTTGTGATACTACACAAAAGAGAAACTAACTCCTAATGAGAGTTTTCTTAATTAGATTTATTCTGCAGATTCATTTTCTTAAGCTGAAGTGACACATAAATGGGTAGCAAAAATTAAAACTGAACTTTTCAGATATGAATAAATTTGTATTAAAATTATGTTTGCCCAGCACCTACTTAAACACCCTCAAATCACAAGTTGCCTGTATCCTTAAAACTTTTGTTAATTAAAAGGGCCCAGAAAACTTCTCATTGCTCAGTCTATTCTTCTACAGTCTGCTACTGTGTTTCTTGGTAGACATACTTCCCTGAACCCTGCGGAAGGAAAAGTAACCATAAGAAAAGCAAATTTTATTGCTTCCTTCCATGAATGGCATGGTAGTAGGATTGTTCAGAAATTGAGAAGTTATTATCAGGGCTTGAACTAAAAGGGAAGAAAAGGAGACCTGGGTTTGATCAGTGCAGCAGAGGAGCTGCAAGTCTTCATTAGGTTCTTCTAGTGGTAGAAGTGCCTGTCAACTGATCGGCATGTTACATGTTCATTCATTCTTGTCTACCAGGCTGCTGGTGTTTCACTACAGAAGAACTTTCATTGTCCTCTCCAAGCCCAGGTCCATGAACACCATGCCAATCAGAGAATACAAATCATTGTCCTAAATAAAACTGACCAATTCCACAATTCTTGTTCTCTGAAGTACTCTCATTGACCTCATTATTGCATTTAGGCCTTAACTTTTTCATCATACGCAAGCAATGAAAACAGTATAAATTTAGCTGAGATGAAAGGGAAAAAATTCTGTGAGATAAAGTGACTGGACTTCTGTCCAGTACAGGAATTTATTAATAAACAACAAGCTGAATGCATTACTTCTATACCTTTGAAAGATATATAAACATATACATGCTGATAAAACATAAACCCCCTAATCTGTAATCTTAGTTCAGTTTTCAGTTTATAACAATTTGTATTCTTCAACAGCGTACCTTATTTTTTGGAACATCTACATATGTAGACTCAAATATGAGAAAATAATAAATTTTGAATTTGTACATTCAGCAAGAAAGGCAGGAGTGACAATGCTCTCAGTAAGAAGGAGTCACAGTCATTACACTGTGAATGTATCTGTCATCCCATATCTTTATGGGACAGTTTAGAAACATCCCATTTCATCCTAACTGACATTTTCTCAGAGTGAGCCTGTGGTGTTATTATTATCTGAGAAATATAATAAAAGGACAGTATGACAAGCATTGCTTCACATATGATTTGATTGTTACTTGTGGTATAGAGCATCTCATGCTCTGTTAATTCAAGTGACTGGCATTCTGGTCTAACCCTCTTAAGATATTTAAGAGTAAGAAGAGACATACTCTGAAGCTCTATCTAAACAGCTGCATTTTGATTTTACCTGACCAGTAATCAGTAACAACATACAGTTTTGAGATAAAAGCCAACCCCCCACCATTTTAACTGAAAGAAGACCTGGAATATCTTGTTTCAGAAACACCAAGGCATTGCCTGAACCTGGAGGCAAAGGTGCAAATAGCATTGTGAGCAAGGAAAATAACATCATCAAAATACCTCCACGTTTCAAAACTCTCTGATCTGAAATGCATACGAAGTTTCATGTATATCGGCACGATAAGGTAGTCTAAACCATTTTAGCTTACTTATGCCTAATAGAAAACCAAGACCTGGGGATTAGTATTTTCTGAATATGCAGTTAAAATGCTCTACAAACTTAACTGGAATCTAAGTTTCAGAGCTGAGTAAAAAATGTTTCACAATATGTCTTTCCCCAGTAGTATATTTACAAGCTGTTTCAGTTTGCAAGCCTGAGTGCATAGCTTATGAGAAGAAAAAAAGATTACAGTTTTAGAGTGAAGGCAAGTTACTCTATGTTTATTTCTTTTAGTTACATGAGATTAAATCAGACTTAAGTCCTGGAATTTGATGGAAGTATTTATACAAATCGTCTTAAAAGCAGAATTTGATACTCCATTACTTTTAAGACTATTCTCAAAAGCAGAGTTACGAGATTGTTTATTAAGACAGAATCCTTTATCAGAGATATTATATACACAATTTTTCTAAGAATAGAAAACAGTAGTTGGCACTTCAAATTAGATACATTAACATTTATTAAAATACTTCAAAAATGCAAACATCATTTGACCCAAAAAGACCAAAAATTTGAGTCAGATGAGCAGTGCTGTTTCCTCAATAGCACTGCTCATACAAGTTTTTGGCTTAGAATCATGATTCCCAAAGGGATAACAGTATTGATGATGACAAAATCCTCTGCAAGCAGTTATGGTTCAATGCTTTCAGAGTGTTACGATCTTTTATATAGATCCATGTTTGGGATTCTCACACTGCTACTGTTCTTGCATTTCTCTCATTTACCATCCGGTATTGGAAGTCACTGGGGCTCTAGTTTATTTCACCTCTTTAAACATACCCCCTGTGTTTTTTCTACTTCCATTTTGCACACTGGTTGCAACGAGTTTTTAGTCCCCAGTTGTTAGACTCTCCTGTAACTCTGCCAGGAGAGGGGACTCTCCATCAGCCCACTCATTTACACCATCTACTCATCTAGGAAACATGAAGTGTTTACTCTTGTGAGTAAGAAAACCAGAAAGTTTTGAGGTTTCCACTGCACTTCACAAGCTTTGTACAATGAATCCCAAGGGAAAAGCTGGGGCAGTTTGCAAAATCCTCAGCAGCAAAGATGCCACTACTGAAGCTTACCATGCTCCTGGCATGCGGAATCCCTCAACAGTCTACACATACCTCCTCTGCAATGAGAATCTCACCATGGCTGCTGCCGTGTAACTCAAAGGAACTGCAGGAGGACATTTCTGTCAGCCCATTCCTCTGAATGGGAATAGCTTTAAATAGTAAATATTAAATAGTAAATATTAAATAGCTTTTTAATAGTAA